CATTTTCTTTATCCATTCATCTGTTGATGGCTACTTAGGTTGATTTCATATCTTGGCTATTGTGAATAGAGCAGCAACAAATATGGGAGTACAGGTATCCCTTTGATATATTGATTTCCTTTCCTTTGGATAGATGGACAGTGATGGGATTGTTGGGTCACATGGTACTTTCATTTTCAGTTTTTAAAGACAAGTTCATACTGTTTTCCATAATGGTTGTACTAATTTGCATTCCTACTAACAATGCATAAAGAGTTCCCTTTTCTCCATATAATCACCAGCATCTTTTATTTTTTGACTTTGATAATAACCATTCTAACTGGTGTGAGATGGTATCTCATTGTGGTGTTGATTTATGCTTTCCTAATGATTAGTGATATTGAGTAGTTTTTCCTAAATCTATTAGCCCTTTTTTTGTTTTAGAAATGTCTTTTTATGTCTTTTGCTCACTTTTTAGTGAGATTATTTGATTCTTTGCTGTTGAGTTTGAGTCCCTTGTTGGATGAATAGTTAGCAAGTATTTTTTTCCCATTGTACGTGTAATCTCTTCACTCTGTTGATTGTTTCCTTTTCTGTGCAGAAGCTTTTTAGTTTAATGCAGTTACATTCGTTTATTTTTGTTTTGGGTGCCTCTTGTTTTGAGGTCTTAGCCATAAAATCTTTGCCTAGATCAATATCTCGAAGCATTTTCCATATCTTTTCCTTTAGTAGCTTTATAGTTTCAGCTCTTGTATTTAAGTTTTTAATCCATTTTGAGTTGATTTTTGTACATGGTGAGAGATAGAGGTCTAGTTTCATTCTTCTCTGTAGGAATATTCAGTTTTCTTAGCACAATTTATTGAAAAGAATGTCCTTTTCCCAATGTATGTTCTTGGCAACTTCATCAAAAATTGGTTGGCTGTAAATATGTGAATTTATTTCTGGGTTCTCTATTCTGTTTCATTGGTCTATGTGTCTGTTTTTATACCCATAGAATAGTGTTTTGGTTACTATAACTTTGTAATATATTCTGAAATGTCTTAGTGTGATGCCTCCAGCTTTGTTCTTTTCACTGAGTATTGCTGCTATTTGGGCTCTTTTATGGTTCTGTATGAATTCTAGGATTGTTTTTCTACTGCTATGAAGAACGTCATTGGTATCTTGATAGAAATTGGATTAAATATGTAGATTGTTTTGGGTAGTTTAGTCATTTTTAACAATATTCATTGATTAAATTAATGAACATGATATATCTTTCCATTTTTTGGTATCTTCTTCCATTTCTTTTATCAGGGTGTAGAGTTTTGTGTTTTGTTTTTTGTGGAAATCTTTCGCTTCTGTGGCTAAATTTATCCCTGAGGATTGTTTGAAGTTATAAATGAGATTGCTTTCTTGATTTCCTTTTCAGTTAGTTGGGTATTGGCATATAAAAACGCAACTGATTTTATTATATTAATTTTGTGTCTTGTAACATTACTGAATTCGTTTACCAGTTCTAAGAGGGTTTTTAGGTTTCTCTATGTATAAAATCATGTCATCTGAAGGTGAGACAATTTGGCTTCCTCTTTTTTTTTTTGAATTGGAATCTCTCTCTGTTATCCAGGCTGGAGTGCTCTGGTGTGATCTTGGCTCACTGCAACCTCCGTTTTTCAGGCTCAAGTGATCCTCCCACCTCAGCCTCCCCGGTAGTTGGAACTATAGTTGTGTACCACCACAGCTGGCCAATTTTTGTGTTTTTTGTAGAGACAGGGTTTCACCATGTTGTCTAGTCTGGACTCGAACTCCTGAGTTCAAGCAATCTGCCCACCTCAACCTATCAAAGTGCTGGGATTACAGGTTTGAGCCACCATACCTGGCTGGCATCCTGTTTTCCAATTTGGATGCCTTTTATTTCTTTTTAATTACTCTGGCTAGAACTTCCAGTATAATGCTGAACAAGAGCGTTGAGAGTGGCATCCTTGTCCCATTCTAGTTCTCAGAGGAAAGGCTTTCAGCTCTTCCCCATTCAGTATGATGTTACTTGTGGGCTCATCATATATGGCCTTTATTATATTAAGGTTTGTTCCTGCTATACCTTATTTGTTGAGGGTTTTCATCATGAAAGGCAGGGTGAAAGGGATTCTTTTCTGAAGGGACTTGTGTCACTCAGTGTCTGATGAGGATACAGAAATCAGTGTCTAGTGACAGACAGTAATTTGAAGAGGGAAAATGTACTATAAAGATTTATTAACTGGTAAAATGTGATTAACTGCAAAAGGGGTAAATTGCATGCTAAATAACAGAAATAGCAAACATAGGGAGGAGCTGCTACTTCTAGGACTGAGGGAGAATACCCAAGAAAGAAAGGAACAAACATGGAAGGGTCTTTCTCCCCTCAAGGCTGAGATTCAGCCCTTGTTGGAGAGGGTGGGGCTGTCACCCACAAGATAAAAGAGAAGTTCCTTGAGGTGCCACAGGTCAGGCTGGGTGAGTAGGGTGCTGGCTGTTGGGTGCCAGTGGATCAGCACTGTGGTCAGGAAAGTGCCTTCTAGGGTCTTGGCAAAACCCACTGGAAGGTGGTCACCACTGGGTCTCATGTATACTGCTGGCAAGGAAATTGCCTGCTCAGGTGACTATAAAACTCAATAGGAAGCCGTCACTAGGTGCTGGTGAAACTAACTGTACAGTGGCTCTCCTGTACACCACTGGTGGTGGCCATAGGTAAGAAGAATCGAGAAGGAATGTTCCTTCCTTTGTTATACCTTGTTTTGTTTTATTTATTTACCTATTTATTTGTTTGAGATTGAGTTTTGCTCTTTTTTTTTCCCTGGCTGAAGTGCAATGGCTTGATCTTGACTCACTGCAACTTCCACCTCCAGGATTCAAGTGATTCTCCTGCCTCAGCCTCCTGGGTAGCTGGGATTACAGGTGCATGCCAGCACGCCAAACTAATTTTGTATTTTTAGTACAGATGAGGTTTCACCATGTTGGCCAGGCTGGTCTTGAACTCCTGGCCTCAGCTAATCTGCCTGCCTCGGCCTCCTAGAGTGCTGGGATTATAGGCGTGACCCACCGTGCCTGGCCCCTTTACTATGCTTTGAAATGTCTCTCCTACATTTTATCAGTGTAGAATGTAGTGTCATTTATAAATGACATTGCACTGGAACAGGGCAAAGAAGGGTGGATTTGGAGCTGAGAGGCAAAATATCGATAACTGTCTCAGTCAACTTCTTTGGCTTCTTAGCTTCCACATGCATCATTTAATATATATTTGAACTCTGTATAACGCAAAGTCAACTCTGTTCTTAAGTGCAGAGTTTCATCCATTTCCCCAAATGAGGAAACACACAGTTCCCACAGTCATCGTAGCCTCAGCTGGCTGTCTTAATGACTCCCAAATCAAAGTCCCACTGAATACTCTCTTACTTAAAGGCTAAATTATAGAGTTTATATTCAACAACATTCATAAAATAATGATGAAAGAGAAAAAATTAAATGGTTAATATATGCAAATACACTAGCATATATCACATGCAAAGAGAAAATACACAAAACTATCACAATTCTCATTTTTGTAACTGATTGAGAGGACATAGTTGGTATCTGCGGGCTTCCTCCTTCTATGGCTATTCTATATTTCCACTGCCCTTAGATGGTCAGGGTTCTTTATCTGGTGGACTGATCCACACTTCCACTTCTAGAGGGCCTGAATCCTCCATAAGCCTGTCCCCTCCTTTTGACTCCTGCGGTTTCCTGTTAACCTTTATTTCATACCTTGAGTCCAAGTTCTAGGGAGGTAGCTTATGTTGGAGATGACCCATCTGGTCATAGGCTGGTGTCTGGTAAGATGATTGTTTTCCCATTTGGTGCTGCTCCTTGGGCCTCATACATTGCAATTAAGCCATTCCTTGTTTTTGTATAAATGGTATATTTACTTCAGAAAGCTCTTTCCACTATGTTAATGTGACACTTGAGGGAGCTGCCTCATTACAGTTTCTTGCTTCTCCAAAGTGCTGGGGTGGTTGGGGAAGGGCAGTGGGGCAGAGGAGGGGAGAACCAGAATCCCTTCACAGACTCCTCTGGCTGGATGCCAGATGCTGCCATTCTCTCCCCCATCTCTTTGCCCCTCTTCTGGTGGTGGCAGGGTGAGGTAGGAAATTACTCTCCTTTCTTGTTGGTCTTAGATACTTTGCAAAGACATCAGTACATTTTCTTAGCTTTACAGGTTTAGTTCTTAGCACTTTGCCACCCTGGGAAATCAATGCCAGCAAATCCCATAGAACTTGTCTGCTTTTTGCCACAGTTTACCCATCCCTTAAGACGATAAACAAAGAGCTGGCATTCTGCTTATAAAAGGGGAGTATAGTAAAAAATGAAGAAAATATATCTCACAACTTATTTCCCATCTTTTAATAAATAGCGACAGGTTTAAAATAGCTAAAATTGAAAATAGATGCCTATTTGGAAATTCACTAAGTAATTACATTCTAGCAGTTATACATGAGATATTTATTATATATTATATATCTAATTATCTATAGTATAAATATATCTTCCTAACCACTTCCTTTTAAGCATTTTCTCTTGAACTTTCAACATTTGAATTGGATTCAGAACACGGAACAAACAAAACTCTTAAAAGTGTCAGACATGTTAGATTTATTTCTCGCTCCCATGGAAAAAGTAAACACGGCATAAAACACTCATCATATTTTAGAAGTTAAGAATGTGCTTTATGTAATTTATCCTAGAAAAGTCCTCAAGTTATATACACTTTTAGATTATGAATGAGTTATGGTCATTTGGAGATGGCAACAGAGCAATTGGCAAGTTCAAGAATTTATACACAAGGTGAAAGGCTTTTTGAGACAAGCAGAGTTTCCTTTCAAGTCTAACTTCCTGAGTAATTTATCTGAAATATTGTGAAGTGCCATGGAGGAAGACTTTCAGAGTGTGTAACACCATCCCAATGACCCTCAATCAATCTGGTTTGAATATGTGGAATTGGAGGACAGGTCAAGAAAGCAGATGCTGAAACAGGAGGAAATAAGTTGGTTTATTGTGAACATGACATTTTCCCACCTAAAAAAAAAAGATAGTTGACATCATTTTGAAAATTGTGGAGTGGAAAAAGCAGATCAACCTTTTATACTACTGAAATATAATTTTCCTGGTCACACATCTTCCTCATTAATTGTCTCCAATTCCTTACAAAAGAAAAAAAACACCTTTATACATGTTCTTCTGTTATAAAATAATGTCATAGTTGTATTTACCTCATCTTTAAGCATGAATTTGGTAACCAGTGAAAACAACTTATTCAGTGGTGCCATGAAATGATGAAAAAATAACTACCTTTTCTCTTTTATTTTCTTGATCTTTATTCTCCATCCCCATTAACTGAAGGGTAGCTAGAGGGTTTTGTGCAGAATTCTAAATGTCTCTTACCCCAAGAGAGAGTTGAGACACTTTTGTTACCTAGGTCTGTGCTTCTGGAGCTACTGCACTGGATTAATGTTTAGGGAGGACTAGAAAGTTGAAGGGGAGAAGTTGAACCATGGAGGATGTTGGAGTGCTAAGAACCCTGTTTGTGGTTAAATACTGTAGATAAATACTGTGGCTTTGAGAGGCAGATGAAAGACTCTAGTGGAGTCTGTTATTCAGTAAGCAATAGCATCACCCATCATGAAATAAATCACTTGGGGGTAGATAATATATTTCAAGGTTCTGTGATTAAAGGTTGTGGGACAGACCAGAGGCCCTTCCACAAGCAGATTTCACAAGCCCTAGTCTTCTTATGTTGGTGGGTGGGGTAGATGGTGGCCAGAGAATGGCTGAGATTAGGTTTTCTGTCAACCTAAATGGGAGTGGCTCATTCAGTTGGAATTAGATTTGTAAGAATTAATTTGGTATTTCATGTACCTGTGGATTGTGAAACAAATTCACACTCATTACATTTGTTTCAAAAGCATGAATAGGTCCTGCCTTCTGCCTTTAGCTACTCTACACCTATAGTATAGAACAGTCCGATCATGTCAATGTAAGACCATTTTGGGTTCTGTTTTGAGCCAGAAGATTAAGTTCCATAAAAAGTGAAGAAAAATCAAGTTAACACAAGAAATGTTTACCAACTAACTATTCAATGCTAGGTCTGTTAAGTATGAGGAAATAAATGTGATATATCCCTTGAGAAAGCAGGAATAATCCAAATAATTTATAAATATACAAATTATTAATTACATCAATAAAAAGTCTTTATGATGGGTGTGGCCAGCTCTGGGGCTGGAAGGCCCACCTCTGCATTGCAAAAGAATTAATCTTCAGTCATGTTTCATGGAGTAAAAGAGATATGTTTAGGCCAAAAAAATTGGAGGAAATGGATAGAAATCTCATTTTTGTTCATCTGCAGTATTAATTCCCCATAACAAAACATATTCATGTAAAAAGCCGTTTAATAGCCAAGAAATCACCGAAATTGTTCATTATGAAAATCTGGAGACTTAAATGCAGATAAGGTTGATGTTCTGAAGCTCACAGAATATGCTAAACTATTACTTAGGGGGAAAATATCTCTGAAGATCATTACTTGAAGAAAAAAAAAACACAATTCCTTTGGAAGAAAGTAAAATCAGAAACCTTGAAGTTTCTCTTAAAGAAAATCAGACCTGTAATTCTAACCAGTCAACTGATCTTAGTTGAGAATATCAATGTGCTTTGTGCTGGAGAAAGAAATGAATGTAAACTTTTCCAAGGAGGATGGTAGAAAATAATCCACTTGACTGTCTTTTTTTTTTTTCCAAGACAAGAGTTTCACTCTTTTTGCCCAGTGCGGAGTGCAATGGCACGATCTTGGCTCACTGCAACCACTGCCTCCTGGGTTCAGGCGATTCTCCTGCCTCAGCCTCCCGAGTAGCTGGGATTACAGCCATGTACCACCATGCCCAGCTAATTTTTGCATTTTTAATAGAGATGGGGTTTCATCATGTTGGCCAGGCTGGTCTTGAACTCCTTACCTCAGGTGATCCACCCACCCCAGTCTCCCAAAGTGCTGGGATTACAGACATGAGCCACCACGCCTGGCTGAAAAAAGAACTCTTTAATCCACTATGTGTAATTTTTTCCTCTTTCCTTTAGATTTAAATGATTAACTTCTGATAATGCCACAGACATCACAGACATTTTTTTCTGAAAGATTTGTTAATGAATGGATTCCTTTTGAAAAGAAGTCCAGGCAGGTGCACAGATACACAGAGAGCTCCAATGATGCTAAAATGTGAAACATACTATGGTATATAAGAATCCTCTAGAGATGTAATTATAACACCAAGAGCAAAGCACAGGGGACTCCGTCAGTGCATTTCCCTGCAGAAGATAGGTCTCTGTAAAATGAAGAGTGAGTAGCATGCAGGGGAGGAAGGACACTGGGAAGCGCCCTGACTGCTGACGGGAGAGCCTAGTCTAGCTCTGGTCCTTCACTGGTCACTGTGAGATCTTAGGCAAATTGCTTACTTTTCTGGGCCTTCATTTTCTCATCTGGAACTGAGGTATTGAATGAGGCCCTTTTTTAAATCCTAAGATTCTAAAACTCCAAATGCAGGCACTTATTAATATGGTACCAGGTAGCCTTTGTCCTACATTGAATTGTAGGTATAGTTTGTGCATATTTGTCTCCCATCCAAAAGTTTGCAGATTCACTAAGGAAGAGTCAGTTAAGGGCCAATAGGAGGATCCAAAGGATTTAGAACTACAGGAGCTGTTCTTTACTCCTGGTTAACTCTTAGCCAGAAGATGGAGAAGTTCACCTCAAAGCTTTGCCATCAGGTGTGGGGGGGTGTTGTACTAGGGTGTGGAGAGAGGAGAAAGTCTCAGGAGATCAGTTAAGGGTTCCTATGATTGCAGAACCAACCGAAGAGCCTTGGAGGCACCAATGATGACTCCTTCCTTCACGTGGCCATGATTTTCTCTAGTTCTTCAAAAGCCAGGAACTGGGCTGTATTATTTTCTGTGAAAGAAAAAGAAAAATAAGCAAAAATGCTTCGCAGAATATTTTATAGTAACAAACAACTCAGGACTAATTAATAGGTTTAGAAAATGGAGGGAAAGAGCTCATCTATATAAAGGTTTAAAGATGCACGTATCTTCTTGGGAGAAAAGAGGCTATTATTCCATCATTTCCATATGCATGGTTTGTTACAAATGTAATTGAAAATTTAAGTCTTTCAAAAATAGAATACATGGACACTGGAGATTAGGTCCCACATAATCAAATTCTAAATTTCTGCTCCAGCAAAGTCGTCCCTACTGAGGTCAGAGTACAATGAAGAAGGAATGGTGGGCTAAATGCCACATGAAGATTTTCAGGCAGGGAATCATCAGCCTTGTCACATGCTGCTGATATGACAGGACTGACCACTGGATTGAGCAACATGAAGGCATGTGATCTCAATACAAGCTTTTCCTGTGATTGGAGTAAGATAAAAGAGAATAGGGAGAGAAGTGGAGTCACCAAGTGAGGACAACTCTTTGAAGGAGGTTTGTGGACCATTTGTTGTTATACCAAGGGAACTGCAAAGGGGATTTTATGAGGAGGGAATAGCTTTGTTTGAGAACTGGGTGTCATTGCTTTTGAGGCCACAGAGAGTCAAAGTTCTCTGTGATTTAATTATTTAGGAAAGAGTCTTCCTAGAAAGTTAGCACTTTCTTCAAAGCAAGTCCGTTTCTCTCATTTGCATGTCTCTCATTTCTAACCTACTTAATAAAAACTCCTTTCCTCACTAACTTGAGCTTTATGTATCTTGTATTGAGTAGACATAAGAGGTGCTGGTTGGCCTGATTAGGTGCAGGACAGGATCCCACAAAGAGAACGGTTTCAGCCTTATAACCTTTCTTCCTTTGACTTTCTGTGATTAGTTTCCTGAGTGTCTGATAACAGCTTTGGTTCCTTTCCTGTAGTGTGGTGAACCTCACCTCTTAGAACAAATTGGCTGACAGGCTGGGGGGTGATGGGCAGGAGGGATGAAATCATTGTTTTGTTTCAATGTCGGCTTCTCCCCTGAGAGATCTTTCACAGGAAGGGAGTATATTTTTAGAGTTAGCATGTTCTGGTTCAATGTTGTGAACATTCATTTTAAACCTACTATATTTAGTAGAGGTTTAATTACCCAAATTGGGAAACTAGTTTCAAACCATCTCCTGGCACCCACCAGCAGTGGAGACTGGCAGTTTCAGCCACACAAGCACACCTGGTGAGAGCAACTGACAAGAGCAATTCCATTGCCTGAGTTCAGCATCTTCAGCACCCATCTAGCCCTGTTGTAGTCCCTCTTTCTTTCAGTAAGACCTTCTTGCAATATACCCTCTGTGGGCTGGGGGAATGTATCTGCTCTGATGTCTGTGGGGAGTGTCTTTTCTTCCCACACAAAAATCATGATTATATTTTCCAAAATAGCACTCAGGAAACAGAATCTCTCTGTGACATTTACAGATATGTGAGATGTTGAGGAACTGCAGTCTGAATAATGAAATTTCTTGGATTTTCAGCAGTGTCATTTATTCCTTCATTTACTCACTCACTTCTGATAGGGCCAGTCTGAGAGCTGGGCTGAGGAGTTCAAGGCTGATGTAGTCACGGATGAGTCTGAGGCAGGGAGACCATTGGTGGGAGAATGGGCAGTGCCAGCTGGCTTTAAAAATGCTCAGATACAAATTTAATTTTGTACATTCATCCAGTCATTCAGCAAATACTTATTGATTGGTTGGGGGGTAAGCCATAGAGCCTGGCACTAGTTTAGTGAGAGAGATACATAGGAATAGAAAAGAAAATTATCCTAATAAATGCAGTTACAGAGCAAGAGCTCTGAAGGATGGGTTTATGGGTATGTGTAAAAAGAACCTGATGTGACTGATCAGTGAAGAAAATTGGTGCTTGAACTGAGATCCACAGTGATGCTTCCCAAACTTTATGTGCATATACCTATCTGGGGATCTTGTTAAAATGCAGATTCCTATGCTGCTTCTGGGGCTTGGGGAGGGGCCTAAAATTCTGCACCTCTAATAAGCTGCCATGTGATGCTGATACTGCTGGTACCAAGGATTCTAAAAGACAAACATAAGGGAAAGCAGGGGTTGGGGAAACAAGTTTCACAGGGAGGGAACAGTTATACACAGCTAGAACATAGTCTGCATGGTGCTCTTCTGGCCCCCAACCACTGAAGCAAAGGTCAAGTAATTGTTCTACCCTCTTCCATGAGTAACTGGCAGGATATATGTTCTCTAACAGGACATTTCCCAACTTTAAGGCTGCTCTTTTTGTTAACTTCAAAATTCTTTTTACCTCTTGTAAATATCGGGATTTCCATTTAAAAGGTCAGACTAAAGATACAGCTTATACCCTTCTCCTTAGAATTTGCCAGAAAACAAGGACAGAAATATGAATTTCATGTTTGATAAACTTGAAGACTAACTCCCAAAAGATAACATATGGAGAGGGCTCTCGATTCAGTGAAGATCAAATATGGGTGCAGAGAGACTTCCAGAGGGAGTGCTTAAGAATACAGATCTCAGATAAAGCTGGCAGAAAACTGTTTTCTTAAGTAGACGACACTTTGAGGGCAAAACCAACCACCCCTTCTTTGGAATTACAGGAATGGCAGGTACTTGGAAGAGGGTAGGGATGGAGTATCTCTTTACCCTATTTGACCTCACAGGAAAGTGGAGCAAACAGGACTGTAGAAAACATGCTGAACTACTACATTCAGTCTGCATCCTGGTAAGGCAGGGTGGAGGAGAGAGGCTGAATTGCAATCTGCTCTGTAGCTGCTAGTGCCTGTTGGCTGAAGAGAGGTAAAAATAACATACACATATAGTCTTGTTATCATGAATTTGTCCCTGAACTAGGGAGAATTCTTGCTATCCGGGAACTGCTCATACCCTTCTCAACAAGACCCTGGACCACTTCCAAAGTCAGGAAGAACATACTTCATCTAGATGAGTAACCATGCTGGAGAGGATGTGGAGAAATAGGAACACTTTCACACTGTTGGTGGCAGTGTAAATTAGTTCAACCATTGTGGAAGACAGTGTGGGGATTCCTCAAAGACCTAGAAATAGAAATTCCATTTGACCCAGCAATCCCATTACTGGGTATATATCCAAAGGATTATAAATTGTTCTATTATAAAGACATGCACACGTATGTTCATTGCAGCACTGTTTACAATAGCAAAGACCTGGAACCAACCCAAATGCCCACTGATGATAGATTGGACAAGGAAAATGTGGCACATATACACTATGGAATACTATGCAGCCATAAAAAACAAGTTCATGTCCTTTGCAGGGACATTGATGAATCTGGAAACCATCATTCTCAGCAAACTGACACAAGAACAGAAAATAAAACACCACATGCTCTCACTCATAGGTGGGTGTTGAACAATGAGAACACATGGACACAGGGAGGGGAGCATCACACACTGGGGTCCGTTGGCAGGGACTAGTGGGGAGACAGTGGCGGGTAGGGAGGTTGGGGAGGGATAACATGAGGAGAAATATCAGTTATAGGTGACAGGGGGATGGAGACAGCAAACCACCTTGCCATGTATGTACCTATGCAACAATCCTGCATGATCTACACATGTACCCCAGACCCTAAAGTAAAACAACAACAAAAATATATATATATAACATTTTTTCAGAATTTATAATTATTACCTGAGGTTCAATAAAGTTATTGAGCCAATCAGAATCTGAGTTGACAGTTCATTCCTATAAAATATAATTATCTTAGAGGATTTATTACTCTTATGTCTACATAATGATTATGTAGGTAATATTCTGACAGTAAAAAGCAGTATGGTACCCTGAAAAAAAGCAAAACAAAACAAACAACAACAAAAATGATGAGTGACAAAAATGCAACCAGCACAGGATTTACACAAATAAGTTACAATACAAAAGGAGGAAGAGGGCGGGAGGACGTAAGAATTCTTGCCAATAACAAGTTGCCATTAAGAAGTAGAAAATTATGACTAAATAAATGTCTATGAACCCATAGAACTTAATGAAACTATGAAGAGGCTCAAAGCAGAGCAACTGAGAGATCGGGAAACAATAGTGCCACACAGAAGGAAATGAAACAAGAACTTCTGAAGGTCAGGAAGGCAGCAGAAGAGAAAAATAAAGCTACCGTGGAAATGCAAGCATGTTGTAATAACCACTAAGAATAGACACTGCTGACATCACAGTGAGGAGTAGGAGGGCAAGATTAAGAGACATAAGCAAAAGATATAAAAGATGTAAGCAAAATAACCAGAAATGGACAAAGTTAGAGTGAACTAGAGAGAACATGAAAGATATGGAAAACAAAAGAATTGCAACATATGCATTATTTGTATCTTTTAAGAAGAAGTCTGGAGACATTACTCAGTAAAACTCTTAGAAATAAAATAAGACTTGAATCTACAAATGGAAAGGCCACACTGTAGCCCAGAAAAAATTGATACAGAATGATCAACATTGAGATGTATCCAAGTAAACATGCTGGCCCTCAAGACAATGAAAAGTTCTAGAATCCAGGCAAAAATAAAAAGTAAGTGTGAAAAATTACGTTGGCATAATAACAAAATAGACTATGTAGAAGACTATCAAAAGCAAAAGAAAGGAATCCTAACATAAATGAAAGCACAACATTTTAACATATTACCATAAAGATAAATTTAAATTGTCTAATTCACCTATTGACTCAAATTTACTAAAATGGGAAATCAAATTATTCTTAATATGTGAGACACATCTAAAACAATGAAACTCAGAAAGGATTAAGATAAAAATTAGGCAACGACATACAAAGTAAATGCAGGAAAAAGAAAGCAGCTGTCATAACTATGGTTGCACTCAAAAAACGTGAAAAAAAGACAAAAAGGGAACTTGATAATAAAGGATGTAATTCACAATGCAATTTATATGACAAATAAATTGGCATGGAAAACATGGTGTCAAAGC